GTACCAAATGAAGATGTAAGCCAATGGTCTCGGTTCCTTTCTCCCTTTTGGCCGGCTTTTCTCCGCCATGGTGCCCACATGGACTAGGAAAGGATCCTGGAGTGGCGTGCAATGACCAGGAAAGGAGGCTGAAGAGGGATAGCAATTGGCATAAAATTAAATATGCTGATTTATAGGAACCAAGGCAAACTTAGAAATCTTACACTTCGAGCAGGATTTCAATGCCTGGGAAAGACAGTGACCGAGAGATCAGGGTGTCTACTAATTGTGCTGTCCGGGCACTGCACATGGTAGCCTTCGAGGTCCTGATCCACCTCCTCCTTACGGTTCTTTTCGTCACCCTTCAACTGGACATCCTTTCACACGGCTCCCTCTTTGAGTGGAGTTCTCTGGTCCCTACCAGAGGTCAACTGGTTACCCTACTGGGCTGTCCCAAGGGCATCAGGGGAAGGAAATGGCACACACAGACACAGACACAGACACAGACACAGACACAGACACAGACACAGACACAGACACAGACACAGACACAGACACAGACACAGACACAGACACAGACACAGACACAGACACAGACACAGACACAGACACAGACACAGACACAGACACAGACACAGACACAGACACAGACACAGACACAGACACAGACACAGACACAGACACAGACACAGACACAGAGAGACACACACACACACACACACACACACAGAAGAAAGGCCTCAACGGCTAACCCAAGGACACGATCCAGCGACAAGTGCTCTCGCGTAGGTCCAGGGGGCGCTTGGACAAGAGAGAGAGAGAGAGTTGCCCTTGGAGGGCGTTCAGAGGATCCGATCTTACCCATTGGCCACCAGCTGCCCCGATGAATGGAAAATAAAACTGCGAAAAGTGGTTATATAGCACTTCCCTCTGTCTATTTTACTCTACTCTCCAGAGGTTAGAAATGCAAAAGTAAACAAAAAAACAAGACATGCTTCGGCCAAGCACTTTCCCATTCCAGTCGATTGGAATTCTTTCTTGTTGCCAGTTATTTCCAGGCTTGCCTTAATAATGCCCCCCCCCAGGTCACACTGACAGGGTGATGGTGGGGCATCTAATCCAAATAAATAAATAAATACACGGCCATACAACAATTAATTAATTAATTAATTGATTGATTGATTGACTGATTGATTGTTGTATGGCTGTGTAAGGCCGTGAAAGCCTTCAAGAATATGAATGAATGAATGAATGAATGAATGAATGAATGAATGAATGAATGAATGAATGAATGAATGAATGAATGAATGAATGTTTCCAAGCTCAGGCCCCAACTGTGTTTTCTCCCCATCCCACTCTCTTGACTCACATTGGGTTGTGTGAACGTGTTTCCCTTCTGTCACAAAATTCATGTGCATTAGAGATGGGCGCGAACCGAACCACGAACCAGAAAAACCAACCACGCGAGCCGGTTCGTGGTTCGTTTCGCGAACCAGTTTGGGGATCCTGTTTTGCTGAAACAAAAATAAGGGCTGAACTCCCCCCGCCCACCGGGGCGGCACTTGGTTTTGTTTGTTTTGTCGAAATTGCGATGAATTCCCTGCTCCGGCCACCTCCTCTCCCTTCCCCGCCGCCATCCTCAGAGGCGGCAAGCCGGGCCCACCGCTTTGGCGCCTGCCTCCACCACCCAGTTGACAGGCTAGCGCATGTGCACAGGGGCCACAGGGTTTGGTTCCAGGGAGGGAGGCTGGGATTGCTGCCTCTGAGGAGGGCGGCAGGAGGGCGGCAGTGGAGGAAGCAGCGGCAGGGAGGCGATGGGGGGGCAGTGGGAATTCGTCATTTCATCATTTTTGCCAATTCGTCATTTCCCCGGTTCGTGGCCATCTCTACTGTGCAAACCTAATAAATCTGCTCGAACATTATTTTATGCATTCGTTTATTTTGCCGAATTTATGCAACTGAAGCCTGTCTGCAAGGTCTCGGTGTTCGCCAATCCCATGCACGCTAGCCCTTTGCTTTTCAAAGCAGGCCTGCCGATTTTCATCTCATAGGATTTCATCAAAACAACGCCCCTGCAGGGCCTTATAAATGCGTGAACTCTCCAAGCGAGGCCTGTCCCTCCCCTGCAAGAAGGGTGCTTTCATGAGGATAGTCCCATCAGCCTCCACCTAGGCGGGATGGTCTGGATGGTGGGACAGAATACTGAGTCTCACATCATTGCATGAAGATCACAGAATCCTAGAACGATGGAGTTGGAAGGGTGCCTCTAAGGCCATCCAGTCCAACCCTCTGCTCAAGGCAGGAATCCAAATCCAAGCAGATCGACAGACAGCTGTCTAGTTTTATCTTGGATACCTCCAGTGTCGGGTCCTCACGTCCTTCTCTCTGTTCATGAGATGGTCACGTGGACTGATCCTGTCCTGCATCTCCCCTGTGGCTCTGAGGGACCACGTGCAGGGAGTTCAGCCTTCTTCCATCCTATAATCCCACCCCCACTGCCCGTGACATGCAACTTTTTCCACATCTAGAAATAGACAGCCATCGGACTGGGGCCTTGATTGGCGTCCACGCACCCCAAATGCCCCCTCTTGCCCAAATTCCTGGCTTCTGCTTCCCGCTGGCTCCAAGCCCAACATGTGTGAGCTGGCGTCCGGCTGCACCTCCCGCCATTTGCATCTCGTTAGGTGCTTCTGCGCCCTCCCCTCCCTGATCCTTCCTCCGCGCTCTCCAACCTCCTCCCGCCTTGTGGCATTTTGATCCTCCAGCCGCTTGTCTCAACAGTTTAGACAGATGGGAAGCAGCGCAGGCCTGGGCACTGTCTTGCCAGATCTTCCCAGAGACACACCAACAACTGTTGCGGGTGAGGGCGGGGAAGTATTTCTCCATATATATATATATCTTGACAACAGAGAAAGCAGACGTGGTGTGGTGGGCAGTGTGTTGGGTTACGACTCAGGAATCCTGGGTTCAAATGCCTGTCCAACCACAGAAACGCACTGGGGTGGTGGGGATAATGGGAAACCATTCCTCCAGCTTCTCACATAACCCTCATGGATGCAGAATCTGGCCTTCTCTCTGGCTGTTGTTGTTTAGTGGTTCAGTCGTGTCTGACTCTTCGTGACCCCCATGGACCAGAGCATGCCAGGCCCTCCTGTCTTCCACTGCCTCCCGGAGTTGTGTCAATTTCATGTTGGTCGCTTCAATGACCCTGTCCGTCCATCTCGTCCTCTGTCGTCCCCTTCTCCTCTTGCCGTCACACTTTCCTAACATCAAGTTTTTTTCCAAGGAGTCTTTTCTTCTCATGAGATGGCCAAAGGATTGGAGCCTCAGCTTCAGGATCTCTCTTTCCAGGGAGCACTCTGAGTTGATTTCCTTCAAAATGATAGGTTTGTTCTCCCTGCAGTCCAGGGGACTCTCAAGAGCCTCCTCCAGCACCACAATCTGGAAATTAGTTAATTCTTCGGCGGTCCGCCTTCTTTATGGTCCAGCTCTCACTTCCATACATCACAACAGGAAAAACCATAGCTTTGACCATGCGGACCTTTGTCGGGAAGGTGATGTGGGCCACAGAATGGGCTACGCGCATCATGAATGACCCACCCTCTGTGGGAGGGCTTTTTACCTTCCCGTTGAAAGGTATCCATTATAAGGCCAATTCCAAAGAAATCCAACCAAGCAAGAGATTGTATTAACAACAACAGGCCGGTTGCCAATATTCCATTCCTGGGCCAGTCAATTGGGAGGGTGGTGGCCAACCAGCTCTCCTTGGAGGAAAGATATAGCCTTGATCCATTTCAGTTGGGGTTCAAGCCATGCCCTGGAACTGAAATGGCCATGATCACTTGCAAGATGATCTCCCGAGGGAAGGAGGCAGGGCACTATAACCCTGCTGGTCCTCCTGGATCTTTGCCAATATTCCATTCCTGGGCCAGTCAATTGGGAGGGTGGTGGCCAACCAGCTCTCCTTGGAGGAAAGATATAGCCTTGATCCATTTCAGTTGGGGTTCAAGCCATGCCCTGGAACTGAAATGGCCATGATCACTTGCAAGATGATCTCCCGAGGGAAGGAGGCAGGGCACTATAACCCTGCTGGTCCTCCTGGATCTTTCTATAGCTTTCGATCTCCCGAGGGAAGGAGGCAGGGCAGTATAACCCTGTCGGTCCTCCTGGATCTTTCTATAGCTTTTGAACTGTCAATCACGATATCCTTCTGAGAGGGCTATTGAGTTTAAGACTTGGGGGCTCTGTTCTTCTTCCAATCCCTTCACAAGGGCCTGCCTGAGATGGTAAAGCTTGAGAAGGCATCATGCCTCTTTGGGACCTCCCTGATGGGGATCTCTCAGCCATTTCCTCCACGCTTTAAATGTTTGAAGGGCCATCATGTAGGAGATGGAGTCAGCTTGTTTCCTGAAGCTTCAGAAGGCAGGACACAAATAAATGGATTCAAATTGCAAGAAAGGAGATGAAGACTCAACCTAGGGTAGAACTTCCTCACAGTTAGAGTGGCTTGACCGTGGGAAAGACTGTCAAGGGAGGTGGTGGGTTTCTCTTTTTTTTCAGGGATGTGGGCTAGAGCAGTGGTTCTTAACCTTTGTTACTCGGATGCTTTTGAACTGCAACTCCCAGAAACCCCAGTCAGGACAGCTGGTGGTGAAGGCTTCTGGGAGTTGCAGTCCAAAAATCCTGAGTAACCCAAGGTTAAGAACCAGTGGGCTAGTTGATCGCGTGGGGTCCCTTCCAGCTCTACAATTCTCTAAACAAAACCCTTCCACAGTCTGTGAACAGCCCGGCGGAGAAACTCTGCAGCTACTTGTGAAAAACATTTCAACAAGCTAAATTTGGTCACA